TCACACCCTGCCCTCCCCTTGCACAGGCTGAGGACATTTGCAAACTTTCAGCAAACTATGAGTCCTCAAACTGGTGACAGGCATCTTTAAAAATACTAGAGCCAACGTCACAATTAATGTTGAAAACTTTAATAGCATTTCTCTGCATGTGGGGAGGAGGCATGGGTGCCCACTTCTCAGGGTCCATCAGCATTCAGTGTACCGGAGGGCATGGCGACTGCAGTGCAGTCACGTAGAGAAGCCGTGGGCACATCACAGGAAACAGGAAAAGAAAACCCAAATCCCAGGACATGCACAACAGTGCTGCCTGAACCAACACAGAAAGTTAACAAGGTCAGAATAATGAAGGCCACATTGCACAAATAAATATACGCTCACACACTAGCAGCACAGTACTGGAAACTACTTAAGAAACCGTTATTTTTTTGATGCTATCCAAACCATTAAAAATATAGAAATTAACATAACAAAATGTGTCCTAGATCCACTGAGAGATTTCTTAAACCCAAAAGAGTTCTAAGTAGAGAGAAATGCCTTGTCCATAGATCAGAAATACTCAGTGTTGTTCCGTTGGTGGCTCTCCCCACAGTGACTCTTAGATCCAAATGCAGTCCAGATCCAGCCTGAGTCATTTCCTGCAGGGAGTGACAAGCTAATCATACAGTTTACATAGAAATACGAAGGATCTAGAATACTGACCACAATCTTCAAAAAGTAGAAAGTTGTATACTTGTCTTTTACTTTACTCTATTTTACTCTTACAGTTATTTTCTTCTCTTTCTATTTTTGGGTTCAATTTGTAGGTTTTTAAGAAATAACTTAGAAGATGGATTTCCTTATTTTCATGCTGTGTGCTTTCCAGTATGTACATGTACGACTACACATTTTCTTTGAGCATAGCTCGGCTGCATCCTTTGGGTTTTCACGTACGGTTTTACCATGGACTGATCAGGACCACGACCTCCCAAACGTGGATGGCGAAGGCTTGAATAAGAGACAACAGGTGTGACTTTAGGGCTCCAGGAGATCCAGGCCTCCCGCAGGATTCAGGATTCTCTGGGAGCTGAGACAGAATTTCTCTGTGTGGCTGTATTGGTTTGGTTTTCAAACCAAGGGAAGGGTTAAAGTAGATAGCAGGGGGACTGAGCAGGACCCTGAGAGTCAGTTCAGAGACTTCTCCAATAGAAAATTGTGCTAGTCAGGCGAATATCTTATCTCTGGTTTATATTCATCGCAGGAGCCAGACGCCTGCAGCTGCAGTCTCTATTTAGTTAATTGGGGTGGGAGCCGGGATCTTCCTCTGTGGGCCTCACAGCATCACAAGCCACTACAGGGCTCAGTCGGGACCGTGATTCACGCGGCTCACTTACTGTGAATCCACTGCCCATCTCCTTAGGGGGCTTAGGCCTTGGACAGACTCACAAGTAAACATAGAAAACCAATCGCTTAATTTTAAATCCTGCTCAGATCTGCTTCATAGTGGTCTCCATCACAATTTGATATTTGCGTTTTATTTTCATGTTATTTTAAATGTTTACTGTGATTCCTTGACTTGCCTTCCCCTGACTAGCCAACTTCTCAAACTGATCATGGATTTGTGTACTAGGCTTTGCAGTTCTGTGTATTTGTACTTTATGTGTTTTGAGGCTGTGTAATGAAGCACATAATAAAATTAAAAACCTCACTCTTTATGAGAAACTAAAAGGTTACGCAGCTTTCATTATTAAAATTTGCGTGGCATATATCTCCCTTCAGCTCCTTTGTTTGGAGACGTGTTTGGGAAATTGGGTTTGGCTTTGATAGTTTTAGTCCAGTGTGACACTTTCGTCTCTTACAGTAATGCATTTCTTCTCTTGCATGTTTAAATCTGCCATCTTACTCTTTATGTTTTAGTATTGTCAATCTCCTTTCTTTCTCACTGTATGCTAACTGAGAATTATCTAAAATTCCATGTTCCCTCCTGTCGTTACATCTTCTCTTAATATTTTTAGTGGTTTTGGTGACAGTGGAGATGAGAACCCTCATCCTCAGGCCACTGAGGCCACCATTAACTGGTACATTCACAGTCTTCAACCTTCAGTTTCTACAAAGTTATTCTTCAGTATTCTGTGTCAGTGAGCTTTTATCCATGCAGTTTTGAGCCCTATTTAGGTCTGTCTTGGTTATTTCTGCTTTCATTCACATTAGTTTTTTAATATCCTTTATAATCCTAGACTAGAGTCGCACTCGCCTCAAACTGTGTGAGTTTGCTTGGTCCGCACGTGGGATGCTTCCCTCCAGGGGCTGCTCACGTCTGCTTCCAAGGGCACTAGGCTTAGTCCTGGGTGCTCCCGGGATTGCAGGTGACACCTCGCTCCTGCCCATGCACCGCGGGCAGTTGTATAACTTCTTGTTCTCAAACCTTGCAAACCCTAGCCAGCTGCAGGAGATATTTGTATGAGGAGCCTTACTTTCTTACCTAATAAAAACTGTGTTTAGAGTCTAGCCATAGAAAGGACTTGAACCTCCTAGTCCATCGTTCTGAAAGTGGTGCCAGAGATTTGCTACACTGTCTTATTCCCGGGGGACAGAGCTGTCAGAGCATTGCTGGTCCGGCCAGCGTTTCTGCAATGGAAGAGTGATGGCGTGTCACGTTTTGGTTTATACTGCACAGAGCATCTTCTCACTGCTGTGTGTACAGTACTTAGAGACAAGTACTGTTGTTATCCGCAAAATAGGAACTTCAGTTTGTGAAGTGTAAAATCTATATTGTATGGCAACTTTATGCTTGATAGAGGGAGTTATTAAATACTGATTCATCATACTAACTTTGTGAAAAAGATTGACTTTTTGAATTAAGAGACTAGATATTTTGAACTGGCCTTAGACACAATGTTTGTGGAGATGTTGTTTTGTCTTTTCTACTTTACATTGTAGACCACAATGTTGGGTGTAGTTGTGGACACTAAATATGTGTTAATGTACAGCTGTTAAGTTGGGTGCATACTGCTGAAGGGGGCATGTACCTGTATAACCACCTCTAGTTGATATTTGGCAGAAATTTTTACTATGGTTTAGAGTTTTGGTTTTCTTCTTGTTAATGCTATATAACAAAAGAAAAACTGTGGCTGCATTTAATTTTTTAACTTTAAAATTTAGTTTATAAAATTAGGCTTCTGCTAGAATAGTTTCTTAACAGGAGGTGACTGTGTCTCCCGTGGTCCCTGGCTCTGGCCAGAGACATTTTGGCTGTCGCACTGGACATGGGGAAAGTGTTCCCTTGACCCAGGGGTGCTGCACGGGCAGGTCAGTCCCCACAGTGAGGAAAGGCCCAGCTTCGGGTGTCACCCGTGCTGAGGGGACGACTTGCTGTAACTTGTAGATACTCCCTAAGACAAACTTGACATCAAAGGGAACTTGATCAAGAATTGTTTGAAGACTCAGCGTCTGGGCCCTTCTCCCATCCTCCTCTCGGTCTGGGAAGTTTATATTTGTAATTCCTTGGAAATATTATTGGAATCCTGGCAAATTAAGTCCGGTCTCCCACCTCCAGTGCAACTGATAGCAAGAGTGAAGACACTAAGACGCATTTACAGTTAAGGACAGCCCAGGGGTCCTGGGTGTGGTTCAGACAGGGGTTCATGGAACAGGGGATTTTATTAATTTGTGAAAAAGGGAGTGTTTAGAGGGTGAGTGACTGTGAGAAAGGCCGGAATTGCCTGAGTGCTGTGAGCTGGGCTGGTAGAAGGCCTGGAAGCACCTCTGCATGTGCTGAGAGAGAGAGAGAGAGAGAGAGAGAATGAGAGAGAGAGAGAGAGAGAGAGAGAGAGAGAGAGAGAGAGAGATGCAGGCAGAGCCATCCGCACAACACAACTGAGGTGCTCTTAATGTTCCGGAGGCTGATGCTATGGTTTCTGACGTGCACACTCTTTTCTGCCCTGGGCAGTCATAGCCTTTTAGCTTGAGGCTTGAACTCAAGGCTTGAGTCCCAGAGCTTTGGCTCTGCCATCTCACTGGGCTCAAGCTGTTAGAGGGAGACGTAAAGTGAGGAAACAGCAACTATTTGTTGGTTTCAAAGATTGCACATCAGCACCTCAGCCAGCCCTAGTTACATTGCTCAGAGCCAAGTGAAGGGAGAAGGAGCTGGTCCGGCCACCTCTCTACACCTCGGGACATGGAGACAGGGCAAGGCTAGCCCCAGCGGAGGTAACCGCTCTGTCCAAGGAGACCGCTCGGGTGGTCTTCTGCACTCCATAGCTTCTACATGAAGGTCAGGTAATAGCAGTGCCGTGTTATGTTTGGTACTTTGGTATTTGCCCTGTGGTGGTCCTTCAGCGTGATCGGACCTCAGCGAGCAGGTGTCACTGGGGAGGTGCTGGGCAGGGCCTCTGGCTCTCACTAGGCCACCACATCACAGTTTCATTGTGGGGCTCCCGGAGCATCCCTCGGCGGGGACCAAGGTGGCAGCCTGAGCAGAAGGCCCGCACTCCGTTTTCTTTCTGCTAACCTCCTTGCCCACTTTTCCCTGGTACAATCGTCTGCCTCTGTCTGGGGTTTGAAAAGAATTATCTGCTTCAATGAAATAGACCTTTCGTACCTTTCTCTGATGGTTATAAAAACCCTGCATTTTCTTCTTATACTCAGAGTGTGATGTTTAACTTTAAAAATAAATTGGAAATGTAACTTGCTTGAAAATCCTTCTATAAGAAGTGGTATTTCATCATGTGCAAGGAAACGGTGTCCTTGGAGAGCTTTGAAAGAGATCGCCTTCCATTCAGATTCAAATTTACCCTCGAATCAGTGAGGAACCCTGCTGTGCTGCTGTCCTTCTTCCTCGTGACTCTTCAGTGTGGATATATGATAGAGAATCATTTTGAGACTGGGCATTTGAGTCTGATCTTTTGTAAGAAGTGACAATGTGGGTCTACCTTATGTTGCCTTCTTTTAATTTGAAAGTTTAGGAAAAAAAACTGTATAGATTCTCATTTTTATGCAGATTTTCTTTACATCCTTGCTCCCAGGCGCTGGCACACCTCCACCTGATAGAATACATCGGAGAGCAGACTGCTTTGCTAATAAAGGTACACCAATGCTATTGTGATAGCTCGGACCCCAGAATAAAACCCAAGGAAGCAAGAAATTAAAATTTGGGGAGCTAAGGCTTTATTTTAGGCCAGGCCTGGCGTCACAACCTCCAGGAGCCAATTTGGAGACTGTGTGCCTTACAGCTAGAAAGGTTGGGTTTTAAAGCTGAAAAACCACAGAAATGTTGTGAACTTTGACTCAGTTAGATAGCATTTGGGCATTACAGAACTTCCTGTAATTTCCTTGGAATTAAGCATTTTTAAAGAACAGCACATTTTATTACAGATAGCCGGATGAGGGGTAGGGAGGGGGTACAGGAAACTGACACCTAAGGCTTTTACAACCTTTTCAGGAAATTGAAACTTAACCTAGAAAGATTGGAAGGGAAGGGAAGGGGGAGGCAGTAAGATGCATACAGAACAGAAAATGAGGCGCAATGGTTAAAACTAGGTTACAACAGCTACAATAGCATGTTCCAGCCACTATTCTTTGATTTTTGTTTTAAAAAAAATCCAGCAAGAATAAGTCTGTTAATTATATAAAGGGTGTATCAGGGAACCTATTTTATCCTGTTTAGTTTAGAAATGGAGCTCCCTCCACCCCCGAGAATATATAATTACAGATCCTGTTATTTTCCTGACCACCTTTAGATAAACACTGTAAGTGTTTGCTGTGGAAGTCCCAGCCCCAGGATCTGCTGGGACATTGGGTCCAGGGACCAGCATGTGTGCCCACTGGGTTGAAAGAGGAAGCATTGCCCTTCCTCTCTGTCTCTGGGGTGGGACTCAGCACAGGCTCCTGATGCAGGTGTGGTCCTCATCTGCACACTGTGTGCACCTTGGTCTTGCCGTGTGTAATGGGAGGACTGACTCTCCTTTAGCTCTTCTGAATCTCTCCCATCACAGTGTTGTACCCTCAGGGTGTGTGATTTGACAAAAATTGTTGATGTGCAGCACTGCTATTGTCTCCTTCCTCCAGATGGTCCCAGAGGACCGGCGCCTGGCCGCTGCCATCGTCCTGATGCTGTGGGTCTCAGCCTTGGCTTCATCCTTGATCGACAACATCCCGTTCACTGCCACAATGGTGAGCCGCATGCTTCTGTGAGTTTGAGGGTCAGCTCCAGCTGGCACGCAGTCTAGGTTTACCCTTCCTTCTGGGGAAGCAGAGCATGAAACGTGCTCACTCACCACACTCACGGATGCAGAGGACAACGTGGGCACAGCCTAGGGCAGGAGCAGTGAGCGACAGCCCAGATGGCAGCCAGGAGCTCAGGGCTGCAGCCAGCATGGACACTTACCCTCGTGCTGGATGCTTTGGGATCAGCCCCACTGAGGACTACGAGAACCCTGAAGTATAAATACTTTAAACAACAAGATAAAAAGAAAAGGTAGCACAAAAGAGGGAGCTAGAGCCTCTGCGAAGGGGCAGGAGACCTCGAGATGGGGAGGGAAGAGAGGGCAAGACGTAGTGAGAAGTTGAGAAAGGCTGCAAACCTCTGCAACCCGCACTGAATGTGATCGTTATGTGCTGCATAACGTGGGAACGTAACACATGTAGAAAACAAAGTGGATTCTCATTTGAAAAAGAGAAATATTTCAGACATTGAAAGATAGAAATATTCATCTTTATTTCCTATGAAAGTGGAAGCCATTCTAGCCAGTCTTGGTGGCTTCTCGGTGCTCGGCCTGGGCAGGGTGGTTGTGTTGTGTGTTCCTGAGCCCAGTCCGTACTGGAAGTGCACACTGCAGACTTCTCCTAGGGCTGGTAGGTCCTGTTCCTGGGTGGTCTTTGATTATTTGGGTTGGGGCAGAAACTCCAGAGTGCAAAATAAAGGTGGGAGCAGAGGTTTGCGTGCAAGAACTGGGATCCTGGCACAAATACTCTGGGGCCCAGAGGCCCAGGGGTCTGGGCACAGGGTTGGGAGTGTGGTGTGTGCTCATGCAGGGAACTTGGTGGGGTGTTCTCTTGTTCTTGCGGCCCTGCAGACCCCCTATTTCTCCTGTGAATGGAGAGGCAGCTTCCAAGACACCCAGTTACCATGAGTCATGTGGGGGACAGTGAGACCCAAAGGTGAGAGCAGCCGTGCTGGCAGTGAGGACAGGGTGGGCCAGGCGAGGGCCTGCAAATCTGTACTGAACCCAACCTGGACTCACTCTGCCTTCCCAGGGTCACCGTCCAGTGAGCTGCTGTTCTCCTCCCAGAATCTGGGCTTGGGAAGCCGGAATTGACTGTGTGGCTTTTTTATACTTTCATGAAGTCCAGAGTAGAGATATATTTGGCTGTTGTCACATGCAAAGTGTCAGGAAAAACACAGTACAGAACAATGTCTAGAGACTGTTACCCTTTGTGTAAATGGCAGGAATAAATGTATTTTTTTTGAAAAAAATTATTAAAGGGTAAAATAAAACCAAGTGTTTTGTTATGGTGCTTACCTAAACACTTCAGTTAAAAGGCAGGGTTTGGCAAAGTTAGTTTAAAAAGCAAGTCTCAACTCTATATTCTTTACAAGAAATACACTTTAAATATAAAGACAAGTTGAAAGAAAAAGGAATGGAAAAGAGTTAGCATAAACACTAAGCATAAGGAAGTTTATGTGACTGTAAAAATAATAAGCAAAATAAATTTCAAGAGGAAAAGCAAGGGATTCTACACCAACAGAAGGGCTGATCCACCACGCAGACCTCCTCTGGCTCTGCATGCACGATAGTTTCTTGATGCACTAAAAAGATGTCTGCAGGACTGATCTGCAGCATAGCTTTCTGCCCTTTGTGATTTTCAGAGATTCTCAGAAGTTGAATGCCAAGAGGCTTCTGTTTTTTCCAAGATTTCCCAAATCATTTACAAGAGCAAGAGTGCTCAAGGACCTTCCTGCTTAGTTAGCACTGCTCATGACTACTTAGCACACGTTCAAGACCATGAGCACTGCCCAGACCTTGCCTTCAGCCTGTGCCTAATGCAGATTAACCACTTAACCACTGGTAAGACAATCAGTAATCTCAGAGCCACTATTGCTGTGCACACTCCTTGTCACTAAGGATGGGGTCCTCTAGGTATTGGTCAGTGAGCAGTCAGCTCCAAAGTTCTGTTAGGAGAGCCTGCTTTCTAGAAAGCTGTCTTAGTCTGAGTATCCCCGACAGACAACCAAGTCTGAGGCAATCCCAAGGACTGGAGTGTGGGAAACAAGAGGGGCAGAGGGAAGGAGAGAGGAGAGAGAGCCAGCTGTGGGAGCATCAGCATGGGCAGTGCATGGGCAGTGGACCATTTGCTTCTCAATGCAGTCTGCCCAGGACGGGAGGAGAGAAGAAGGATTGACCCACAGGCCTCTGTCTCCATCTGTCAAAGCTTGGCCTTGGATTGCTCTTATGGAGCCATCCACTGGGGACCCACAGAGTGTCCCATCAGCCTCAGTGAAGAAGCCTGAAGAAAGAATCAGGGGTGCAAAGGAAAGTTGCTGGTGTCAAAGTATGTGACGGGCGGCTGGTGATTGGAGCCTGTGACAAGATGCTCTAGCAGCTGCAGCTGGAACAGGTGGACACGAGGGGCAGAGAATCCAGGAGGGTACACGGTAGAGGGCCCTTGCAGAGTGGCCTAGAAGCTCACAGTACAGTGGGGTGTAAAATGTGGAACATCTTTCACTCTGCAGTGAGGAAAAAGACTAGATCGCCCGTAAAAACCACGTCCCAGAGGCCAGAGGCTGTGTTGTCAGACAAGAAAGGAAATACGAGCTTCAAGGACTGGAAAAGAAGAAATTCAAGCTTTTACCATTCACAGAAAACATGAATGTGTGTTCTGAGAAAATTCAAAAGAATATATTTATTAGCTATTATAATTGATAAATGAATTTATCAGGGGGCCCAGACTTAAAAGTTAGTTCAAAGATCAGTTGTAGGGCTGGGGTGTAGCTCAGTGGCACAAGTGCTGCCTGGCAAGCGTGAGGTTATGAGTTTGATCCCCAGTAAAAAACAAAAACCTTTATCAGCTATATTTCTCTGTAGGGACGACAAACTAGTAGAAAATGAAGTTTGGAAGCAGATGTAAATTACGACAGCATCTACAAAAATCTCGGGCCCAAGTTGGCTCAGCACGGACCCTATAGGTGCAACCCTCACGCCTGACCCAGCTTCCCCTCTTCTCAGATGACGGAGAGCCCAACCTGGGGAGCTGTGGGGGACAGCCACAGAACCAGGCTTTTGTCCCCATCCTTCCTTTCCTCTGCCTCCTGGTCTCACGGGCTCACAGGGAAAAAGCTCCAGCTTCTAGGCCTGCTCAAGGCCTCCCCACCCAGAGCCTGCCTGGGACTGACTTAGTGTTGGAAATGTAGGCTGTTCTATTTTTAGAAATAAGACAGTTTTCACATTTTCATTCCAAAATTTTAGCAGCTGGTTAAGGCTTACCTATAAAAAATAAATTGAGCAATCAGAGGATATTGCAGCAGACAGTCCTTCCTTCTCTGCAGGGAATATCTTCCAAGACCACCTTTAGAGGCCTGACACCACAGGTGGTTCCAAGCCCTATCTGATTACTCTGTATGCCTTCCTATAAATATGCAACTGTGATAGAGTTTAACTTACACATTAGGTACTATAAGAGATTAATAACAATAACTAGTAAGATAGGGCACTTATAACAATATAAAAGCTATTTAAGACAAGAATTGTTTATTTCTAGAGTTTTCCATTGTGTGTTTTCAGATCGTCATGGACTGTGGGTAGTCAAAGCCATACAAAGCGATAGGTCTGCAGAGGAGGAGCTGGGCAGATCTGGGGCGCCCTCACTGGCCTCTCTGCGTGTCTGGAGGACTCTGGATATCTGCGCCCAGACTGCTGGAGTTCCCTCAGGCTTCCAGGTGCAGTGAAGGAGAGAGGTGGGTTTGAGGCTTCCACATCAGCCTCCCCATTCCCGGCTTCACTTGGAGACCTGCTGAGCTCCCCATAGGTGGGCTGGCCCACACTACCAGCCTAGCCCAGCCTGTTTAGCTGCCGCGCCTGGCCATAGGTCTGCAAAGGAGGAGCTGGGCAGATCTGGGGTGCCCTCACTGGCCTCTCTGCGTGTCTGGAGGACTCTGGATATCTGCGCTCAGACTGCTGGAGTTCCCTCAGGCTTCCAGGTGCAGTGAAGGAGAGAGGTGGGTTTGAGGCTTCCACATCAGCCTCCCCATTCCCGGCTTCACTTGGAGACCTGCTGAGCTCCCCATAGGTGGGCTGGCCCACACTACCAGCCTAGCCCAGCCTGTTTAGCTGCCGCGCCTGGCCATAGGTCTGCAGAGGAGGAGCTGGGCAGATCTGGGGTGCCCTCACTGGCCTCTCTGCGTGTCTGGAGGACTCTGGATATCTGTGCCCAGACTGCTGGAGTTCCCTCAGGCTTCCAGGTGCAGTGAAGGAGAGAGGTGGGTTTGAGGCTTCCACATCAGCCTCCCCATTCCCGGCTTCCTTTGGAGACCTGCTGAGCTCCCCATAGGTGGGCTGGCCCACACTACCAGCCTAGCCCAGCCTGTTTAGCTGCCGCGCCTGGCCATAGGTCTGCAGAGGAGGAGCTGGGCAGATCTGGGGTGCCCTCACTGGCCTCTCTGCGTGTCTGGAGGACTCTGGATATCTGCGCCCAGACTGCTGGAGTTCCCTCAGGCTTCCAGGTGCAGTGAAGGAGAGAGGTGGGTTTGAGGCTTCCACATCAGCCTCCCCATTCCGGCTTCACTTGGAGACCTGCTGAGCTCCCCATAGGTGGGCTGGCCCACACTACCAGCCTAGCCCAGCCTGTTTAGCTGCCGCGCCTGGCCATAGGCCTGCAGAGGAGGAGCTGGGCAGATCTGGGGTGCCTTCACTGGCCTCTCTGCGTGTCTGGAGGACTCTGGATATCTGCACCCAGACTGCTGGAGTTCCCTCAGGCTTCCAGGTGCAGTGAAGGGGAGAGGAGGGTTTGAGGCTTCCACATCAGCCTCCCCATTCCGGCTTCACTTGGAGACCTGCTGAGCTCCCGATAGGTGGGCTGGCCCACACTACCAGCCTAGCCCAGCCTGTTTAGCTGCCGCGCCTGGCCATTGGTCTGCAGAGGAGGAGCTGGGCAGATTTGGGGTGCCTGCATCGGCC